TTCAAATTTTATTGCCCTTAAAGTTCAGCATATTATCGCATCTGTGTGGGTGTATAGGAGTGCATTTACCGAGTGAAGTCAGCCGGCGAGTCCTACAACATTGTTGACCATGAAGTTTTTAATGGCGGATCGCTGCTTGCTGAAATAAGACAAATAACTGTATTACGTAGACATTTTAGGGTAAATGAGGTCATGCATAAATATGTATGCATTTGTATGTCTTGTACGTATTTACTTTTTAGGATACAAGTGTTTGCAGGTTTGAATTTGGGGAATTCTTAAATTTTCACACACACATATTAGCACCTCCCATTCATTTAAATAAAATATGCGCTACATTGTTGTTTGCAATTTATCATTGAACTTGTTCGTTGTTTGTTCACACCCACTGAATGCCAGCTGGAAATATATACAATATTTCTTGGTTTATTTTCCTTTGTATATTCTTCATGAATATGAAAGGGTATTATAACTTTGGTGCGATATTTGTGAGAACCAGAAGAAGAAGAGATAGGCCCATGAGAATGTATACTTAAATGAGCAGAAAGTCGTGCTGAGCCGATTTAGCCATGTCCGTGTGTCATCTGTTTGAACTACGGTGATTGTCTCGGTTTTTCCAAAGCGGTTTCCTCCGGTTTTGTTGATATCTATAGGCGTTTTTTTTTTTGAAGCTTAGTTCTTCGAATATCGAATAAACCGCATATTCTTTATCGAACAAACCGATTTTTTTTTTATTTCAAAAAAATTTTGATCTCAATAAAAGTTTTTAGTTTCTCGAAGTTTTCAAGGCTTTTTCCAGTTTAGGGAAATCCCTAAGTAGTTTTAAAATTATATCCTAGGTTATTTGGGGAAAAGCAGTATATCATATTTGATACAAATAAATGAACGTTTGGCGTTTAAACGTTTTCTATGTATTTTGCCGAGCTCTTCCTCCAATTAGTGTTCTGATTCTTGATGTTGTGACACCTTCGGTCGGTTTGCCATTGTATGCTTAGGGGCGACCTCTATTAAACAAAACAAAACTTTGATGTTGCTGGGAACAGAAATTGAACTTCCCCAGGGGCTATAGGCACCTCTAAGCACTCGGCTACGGCGGCAAGAGCACTACTCAAAACCGAAAAATGTAAAAAAATGCAGTAAAGTACTAAAAAAAAGTTAAAAAGATACCAAACGTGAAATTTTCACGGATTTTTATTTTTTTTACTTTTGATCTAAAAAAATGTGTACTTATTTTTATGCTCTTTTCTAAATAAGAGCTATTTTCACTGTTAATAGTTACATGCAATCACTGTATGAAAACTATTTTAAATAAAACCGGTTTTTTTCTTAATTTCCAAATCAGGAACCGAAGAACCGAACACCCTAGTTTGAACGCAATCTAGTCCCTCAGTTTTCGAGATATCCGACTCAAATTTGGTAAGCGGATGTATTTTTATGATGTACTAGTAAGCCCGGGCAGACGTTGTCCTGCTACACACCGATACATAGGCAGATTACATGCATCGTAGATATTATGGGCAGGGACCGAAAATAATAGTTATTTTCAAAATTTCAATGCAAAAAGTCAATCGGAAAGAATTGGTCTTTTTAACATTTGTATATAGCAATGTGATGTTTGTCAGCCAAGGAATGTTAATCCTATATGGTTTATTTTTTTTTTACTTTTTTCAAAAAAGTCAGCAATTAACAGTTATTTTTTTACTGATATTTTTTCAGTCGAAAGTAAAAGTTAAAAGTTGACTTTTATTTTTTCGGTCAAATATAAAAGTTAAAATTTGACTTTTATTTTTTCGGTCAAAAATAAAAGTTAAAAATTGACTTTTATTTTTTCGGTCCAATATAAAAGTTAAAAGTTGACTTTTATTTTTTTGGTCAATTATAAAGTTAAATCTGACTTTTATTGTTTCGGTCAAAATAGCAATTTACATATTCACAATACAATATGATTTAATAAATAAAATGATACATAGTTTAAAAAACTAAAACCTCGCTATTATAATTTTCATTCGTACTGTATGTAACTTGAGAATAGAAATCGCTGCATCTTTTAGGCGCATCAATATTACATAGTTACATCCCGAGCTAATAAAAGGGAGGTAATAATAATAAAAATGCACATCCTTTCAATTGCAGTTTTCTATCATCTGTAAATATATTGCTTTCCTTCAATTTAAGCTTAAAGTTATTTACCTCTTTACATGAATAAATCGGAATTCAATTTAACAATTAATATAGCTGCCAAGTTCTGCTCCGAAAAATTGCATCTCAAATCGCTAAGAATAAGCTTAGTACTGAGAACGCGTGTTCTACACTGACTTGAGTCGCTGGCACTTGATGTATAATACATGCCAGATCTCCTAGTCGGGGATATATAAATTTTTTGCTCTCCCAGTAATCCATAAGATCCGTATCAACATCAATGCGCTTCTCCTTTTAGCTGCCTATTTCCATAAATGCTTTTCGAAGGTAATCTTCGGAAAAATAGCGACACGGGGTTTTTAGGAACGTTGCGAGGCGCATAGAAAAAATGTCTATGAAAAAAAATAAAATTTCTCTCGGGTTCAAAACTATCCAATCTTTTAAGTTGGAATCAACAATAAACACCCAGAAAATTTCATTGAAATCGGCTAAGCAGTTTCGGAGATTAGCGTAAACGAACAAAGTGACATTATTTATTATTTGTCGGAACCGGCCAAATCTGACAACTACCACATCTAGCTCCAGCTGTTTGTTCAGATATGAAATTCTTTAATATTACTGCTTCATTTTTGAAGCTAAGAAAATGAAATTTGGCACTATGTTCCCATATTATTTACTAACAGACATCTTACATTCAAAATGACAAACATCAAATCGCAGTAACCTATAGCCTCCATTCAACTGATTGTTCAGACATGAAATTTTTGTTATAACTCCTCCATTTACCCAGCTAGGAATATGCAATTTCGCACTATTCTCACTCATTATCAACAGAAAGCTTGCAGGAAAAATGATAAAGATCAGCTCACTACAACATATATGTAGCCTCCATATAACTGATTGTTCAGATATGGGGTTTTACCTTAAAACTCCTTCATTTGGACAACTAAAACCGATAAATTTCGTGAGCTACTTTCTAAATAATCATACAAAGTCTACTGAGAAAATCATCAAGACCGGTGCTGCATAAGCTATATCTCTTATACAACTGATTGTTCAGATAGAAATTTTTGCGATATAACTCCTTTATGGCATATTTTTAATACCATCTATGTGCTACCAATTATAGCTTCGAAATAAAAGATATTGATATTGTTTTGCTGAGCACACCCAAGGTCATGCCCCGGGTGCTTTGTTTAAGTTTAGTTGTTCTTTAGTTTACCATATAATGAATATTTATTTAAAATTAATGTAATTATGATTTCGCTTCCACCAAACAAATTCGCCCCTTGTTTGTCCTTTACTCTTGTCGTGTTCGATTCTAAAATAAAGGCAAATGGTGAAAAATTTTTTTTTTCGTTTCTTAAAATTCCACACTCTTGTAAGGCAGAAAAGGCACATTCTCTGCCCTTTGAAGCTTTGTCAGGGGAGATGGTTGCCGTGGAAATCAGACGGTTGCTTAAAACGACAGTATTATGAAATGCGTGAGATAGACAAGGACAAGGAAGGCAAAAACATGGCATTGCATCGGGGAAGGGCAACCTTTTTGTTTTGGAAGAAACGAAATCACCATAAATAAGTATGATCGAAAAAAATATTTCATGGGAATTCTTTCAACATATTTGATTACTATTTTCAGATAAATATTCGGCTAGATTTTTGGCCTTATCAGATTTTTCATTTAATGTTTAATTTTCGCAAAAACGTGGATACGAAGTAATTGCTCTCCATTGATTGTTTATAGTAGACATGTCCGTTAGAATGCAATTCCGACAGGGCCATATTTTTCTTTTAAACTACACACATCAAAACAATATACTTATAGAATTGAAATACCCAAAACACAAAGGAAACAACCGCAAACGGAATTGGCCAAAAACATGCAAAGTCAGCAATAAATAAAGTCGAAATTTCTTACCAAAAAAACGAAAGAAAAACACAAAGCAAAATACAATTGAGGAGTCAAAATAGCTAATGATGACGCCAACCAGCTGTGCGCTGACAAACTGCTCGCTGGTGATGGTGCTGGTTTATCGCGCTGACCCATATCGTAGGTTAACGCGTTAATGTCCTATGTGTGTATTGTATACTGGCTACGCGCTTTGATGATGACGTTGCTGCTGTTTTGGCGCTCGGATATAGCACATACTTGAGCGCTGCTAATGCACAGTGTTTAATTCCGATTTGAAATGTAAGAAATAATATTCATATTCTTTATATGATTCACCTTTCTGAAAAGCACGGTGTAATATCAACGTTCCCAGAGAATACACTATCAAGATGGTGCCCTAAGCTAAATAATTGGGTTATGAGCAACTGCTCAGGTGACGCTTCTACCAACCAACCAACTATAGCCTTCTAGTGCAATAGTTTATTGAAAAAGTATAGCAGAAATAAGGCTATGCTGCAGATGAGGCCCTAACGCCTAGACCAAGATACCCTCAGGTTCCCTAATAACTTGTTAAGAGGATCTTGGGGGACAAATACGGACTTCTAATTCTAGAATGTTTGTCTGTGATCAAATTGAATTATATCAGTCACTCAGAATATATTCTAGTGCCTCAACGTCTCGAAGATATACCCGGCATCCTACCTCTTTGAACAGACCAAAAACGTTTGAGAATTATGACCAGTTAAATATCTAACAAGTGAGCAATCTGATATCATCACTAGACACGAATAAAGGCGCGCTAGTGTTTTGAAACACCATGTTTGTACATGGCTGTGCTCGTACATGGCGTATAAGTAACACTTCTCATAATTTTTCATTTGCAATGCAAACTTAAAACGAAAATATCTTGTGACCCAAAGTTAAGTTTACGTATTTTGGCATTTTGTTTTTTTTCTTTTTCTCATTTAAGGATGCTTACGGTGATATTGGCGAAATGTTTGGTGGGAGAAAATGGATAGGGTGTGGTACCGGCCAATCACCTAACTTGAAAGGAAAAAGATCAAACCTTTTAAATAGCTACTTTTTAAATACCTACCTTTATCGTCTCTAGGTCTTCTGTATATACATACTTGTATCTTGGAATTTCTTTAAAAAATCAGAAATAATCGTAATTTTCGTTTCTGCGTAGGCGGCAATCGATCGCGCTTTAAAATAATTACCGTAATGAATCCAACACCGCCTACGTTACCCACATCATTCTACGTTAATATGTTTTTAACTGGCGCCAATATGAGGAAGACGAATAAACAAACAAGAAGGTGAATGGGAAGACTAATACGAAGACAAATAAGTATATGAAGACGGCGACGAAAATTAAACCGAAAAAAATTTCTGAAACCTTAAAAAACTGTAAAATCGGCCGAATTTCGGCATCAATTGGCACTCCTTCTTTGTTTAATTTTTGTTTACATTTTCACATTGTTCCCTCCACAGTGATGTCACCTGTATGTGCGCATTTCCTACGCCATTCTTTCACAATTTTGTTTTTTGTTACATTCTTGTTTTGCTCACATCTATTTCTTATCTGCTGACGCGTTGCATGCCACACACACAGCACACTTTTTATTTCGTTTTCATTATTTTGCTTGGCAGTTTCCTGAAGTCAGTTGAAACGCGCAGTTAACATCTACATATTGACTACGTCAGCGTAGCGCGCCAAACCTTCTTATTTTTATTGAATGATTTTGTAGCAGTGGCGCTTAATCAGCTCAACAACAAATGTGCTAATCGCTCATTCGTACGACGATTTTGTAGTCGTCGTTGATACTTCGCATTCCTCATTTCATTCTGGGCTATTTGGCTAAGTGCAGCAGCAGCAGCAACGGCTGTGGCGTGCATTCAATTGCTTTCGGGACTTGACACCGCCATCATCAGTTCAGGCCAATTCAGCCAACGAGGCAAAAGTTTGTAGCGGTCTCACTCGACGGCGACGTGATTCACTGTTTGTGATTTTTTAAGATCGAAAACAATACAAAATAATACCAGCAGCTGCTGCTCCGCGCTGCACCGCGCGCCGCATTCTAAATTAGACCGTCGTCGCTCGTGGGTACACCGTTCGCTGGTCCGCTAGTCTCTTGCTGATATCATCGGTCATTTGATTAGTCGCATATCGTTCGATTAGCTAGTTGGCGCATCTCTCAACTCATTGCATTTAACGGTTCGCAAATTGGTGCAACAGCAATTGAATTAGTACTTATCCACCTTATCTACAAGTGATTCGAAAAGAGTAGCCAAAGCAGTGTAGCTCGAAGAAGAACGCGCTTTCGAAATCAGTTGGTGTCGCGGTGTGGCGTGTCGAAGTGCACATTTTTCAAGCGTTCAAAAAATATTAAAACAAAAAATAATATTCATAAAAATTATTTTCTAATTTGTAACGCATTGTTAACCTTGAATGCGTAGGCGGCGTGGCGCGGCACGGTGCGGGGTTTATTGTCTCTGGTGCTCACATAAATTGCGTCCATATTTTTCATATCTTGTGCCAAGAAATTCCAAGGTACCCGCACTTGAATTTTCGCAAATATAAAATAAAGTGTATATATAATATACAAATGTGTGTATATTTTGCGGAGAAATAATGCAAAATTTTGTGCATAAAAATTAAGAATTAAAAAATTTTCATTTGGTGAATTACACAATCAGTAAAACTGTGCGGCTAGTGTGGTGAAATTTATATAATATTAACGCGCACGAGCAAGCGAAAACGACGAGCGGTAAAGACTAGCACAGACAGCCAGCGCGCCTGCCGGTGTCTCTAGTGACGATTTGCTGGCGGCCATAGCGAATCGCGCAACTAACTCGCGCGCACCTCAGCAAGGCATATTCTTTTAAGAGCAGAATCTCTCTGTATTTCGAAGCGACTGCTGCTTAAACAGTTAAACGAATCATCTGCGGCAGATCACTCAAGTGGTGGTGCATAAATAGTTGTTTGTTTGATAAATTAGCCTTTGGCTGTTTCGACCGATCGACTGAGGGCATTGCAAATCCGCTGCTAAGCAAATTGCGTGCGTAGCTGCAAACGTTTTTGATTTTTATTTTGATTTTTTGTGATTTTCTGAAACCTCAATAAATTGTTGGTGTCGAATACTGAAATCCGAAGAAAATCAAGGTCGTTAAAAGCAGATATATAATTCTGCAGAACGCGCGACTGTAAAAGCGCCGCGCACCAGACTACGGCAAAAAAGATCACTAGTAGCATTTAATCTAAAAGAAAATTCAAACGCATAACGACCGCTAAAATGGCTGACGATCTTCTACCTGAACTCGGCGATTTGCTCTTCTCAGTACTGATCGGTTACGCTGGCGCCTTGGAATTCCTCTATGTCGTACGTCATCTCTATCACTGGAGCTGCGGTCATATGGCCACCACCCAAAACGATGCGGAAAGTCTCAAGCGTCTACAGGAGCGTATGCGCGGCCAGCTAGCTGAAGCTGAGGCGAAAGAACTACAGACGGGTACGCAGGTGATGAAAGACGGCGTACTCTATAAGGATGGATTTCGAGTTGATGCTGAAAAATTGGCAAACGATCGGCTGTCAGCTGAGCAGAATACACCCGAAGCGCGTGAGAAACGCAAGAGGGAGATAGAGGCGGAATTGAAGCGACAACGCGAGATTGAAGAACAAACACGCAAGCAACTGGCAGAGGCTGAAGCGCAGCTAGAGCGACAGCGTAAGCAAGCTGCTGAGGAGGAGGAGGAGGCGCTAAAGTTGCTAGAAGCAGAGCGTGCGCGTGAATTGGAACAGAAAAGGCAAGAACAGGAGCGCGAAGCAGAAGAGGAAGCACGCAAGTTGTTAGAACGTGAGCGACTGCGCGAAGAGGAAGAGCGAAGAAGAGAGGCGGAGGAGGAGGCGCGCATAAAGAGAGAAGCAGAAGAGGAAGCACGCAGAGCTGCCGCGGCAGAGGCGGAGAGAAAGCATGCGGAGGAAGAAGAGCGTAAACGTGCTGAAAAAGAAGCAGAACTCCTAAAGGCGACAGAAGTGAGTGCAGCGAAAGAAGCTGAAGAGCAAACGCGCAAGTTGCTGGAAACTGAAAGGCAACATGAGCTGGAGCAGCATAAACAAGAAGAAAACGAGGAAGCTGCTAATAATGAACTCAAATTGCTCGAAGCTGAACGACTGCGAGAAGCAGAACAATTAATACTAGAACAAGAAGATATACAAGACAGCGATGAGCCTGAAAGTCTACTCGACGAGCTAGAGGACGAGCAAAAGCGTGTGTTTTCGAATGAAATACGCGCAAGCCATAAACAAACCGAGCCAGGAGAAACGGAGACTTTGGATAGCATAATGCAACTACTCGACGCCGAGAGTGACCGTCAGTTGCGCGAGCGCGACTTTGAGGAAGCAGCCACACATGAACGTGTCGAGCGACAGCGACTAATTGAAGAGAATGCGCGTAAGTTTCTCGAAGCCGATCAGGAAATGGAGGAACTCCTCGAGTCTGTGCAGAAACAACGGCGTCTATCTGCCACAGAGAGCGCACCACAATCGCCTGTGTTGGAAGAGCCATGTGTGAGGAAAACAATGAGTCCACTCTCTGATAACTCGGAAAGCACCGGCGCACGTCTGACACAAACTGTGAAGACACAGTTCGGGCAAACCAGCAATGAACCATATTCGTTGACAACGAAGCCGCTGCTCTTCAAGAGTATATCCGATGATACTCCGTCTTTTGAGCCGCAGAGTTCGTTGAGCGCACAGCACTCCGACGAGTATGGCGCCGATGCAGATGGCGAACTACATAGCACAATCGATGTACAAATTACGCAGTTGGAGCGGCAAGCGCCCGATGGCGGTGAAGATAATGATACTAGCGCATCCCAACAGTACACAGAGGATTATCTCCGCTCGCTCGATGGCATCAAGCAGCGTCCTTTGGTGCGTGAAGATGGCTCTGGACGTAGGCGTGCATTCAAGAAACGTCGTTCCAGCGGTAGTTCCAATTCGTCGTATGAATCGCGTGCTTCACGTGAGGAGGAAGTAAAAATGTTCACCTCACTGGAGGAGGAAGAGTTGAAACCGACGAAGGAAGGTGATGCTGATTTCACGCCAATCAAGTATGCCAGTGAGCCGTTATTGAAAGTCAAGATGCCACGCCGGCGACATAAGCGTAGCCCAGCAAAGGATGCCAAGCCGAGTGAAAGCGGGATAAGAGGTTCGCTGGAGATGCTGGATGAGGAGGGGAATACGAATCCATGGGGTGAGGTCACACCAGAGCACTATAAAGATATGCCATTCTGGAAGCGTGAAAAGTCAATGTCAATCGATGAGGAAGCTATCGAACTTGAGTCACCTGCTATGGAGAAGGAGGAGGAGCGAGATGTAAATGCTAGAAATGAACCGAAAGCGTCAGCGTTTGAGGAAGCTAGCCACACACAAAATGAGGAAGCCATTAGCGTTTTGCAGCGGCAACAAACCAAGGAAGAGCAGGTGAGTAATTGACGAAGATACGTGAAGTGGAAATGTCTGAACTTCGACGCTTATTTTTAGGAAAATGCTGATCAGCAGCCTGCGTCAGATGAGGCAGCTCGCAATGATATTCAAACGAACGTAAGTCTTACAAATAAAATAACCACTTTAACCTCTTACCCATTAGACTACCATTTACTATTGCAATGCTCTATAGCGCTAGTCCTAACACGCTTCTGCTTTTAACTCTCTTTCATACGCATTTTCAAACAATCACGCACATCCGCATACGCTTGAAATTCTCGCTTTATTAGCTTCACACTGCATCCCAATCGCCAATCGACCGCAAATCGGCCTCCCCTCGCTTACGTCGCAGTCCACGTATCGATGAAATGGATCAATATGAAGAACTGTGGAACAAAACAAATGAGACGATATCGCCGCAAGTGTCAACCACGCCTACAACACCTACCACGCCGTCCATTACTGTTAACCACGCGCCAGACACTGCACCTTGGCGCGATCAATACGGCCTACTAATGGAGGGCCTCAGCGATTTCTATGATTTCACGGCCTCGATGAATCCTTCACGTTCACGCTCCACCTCCCGACAGCCTTCGCCAGCGAATTCTCAACCGAGTACACCCGCGCCAAAGAA